AAAGGAGCTCTAGCCAGTTTGGTTCAGTAGATAGAGTGCTGGCCTGCAGACTGAAGGGTTCTAGGTTTGATTCGGGTCAAGGGCACATGCCCAAGTTGTGGGCTCGATCTCCAGGAGATCCACCAATCAATAATTCTCTCTCATCATTGATGTTTCTATCTCTCTCTCCCTCTCCCTTCCTCTTTGAAATCAAGAAAAATATTTTTTGAAGAACAAAAATTTACAGTTTATTGTCAAGAAAAGAACAACCTCCTCTGAAGGCCTGAAATTCCACATCTGTTCCCTAATCACTTTAAACTAGCTGTCTCTAGAAGTCTAACTGCACTTGCATATTACTGTGTGGGTGAGCAGCTGGATGTGACTGCACTCAGCCTACTGCTTAGCTCACCATCTTTATAACTTGGCAGTAATCACTAGAACCATCATACTGTTCACCTCTACTGCTCATCAGATGTCCCTCTGGAATCTGGTAAATTTTAGCTATAAGTAAAGGTTGCTTTTACATTACCCAATTTAGGCTCCTAAATCTCATCATTTTAGATGAGTGGAATATGGTAATAGCTGTTCCTTTCAGAAAGAATGTTGCATGTATCCTAAGAAAAGGGATATACTGGGGTGGATAGATTGATGGCATTTTACCCTGAAGAAATAGAATTTTGAAAGATTGCCAAGCATTGAGGAAGGGTCAGCCAGCACCCCCCAAAAGGAGGCAGTTTGCCCATCTTCCTGTCAATAACACTTAGCATGCTGAGCTGTTTTATCAGACAGATGGTGAGCCATGCACCATTATGACCAATTCAGTGTTGCCACCGTGCAGAAGGCTCCCATGACTGTTAAGCTCCCTGGTCACCTCAGATGTGGCTTTTTGTGTGGCCCTTTACAGCTCTGCTGCATAGATTCTATGTTCCCAGTGGCAGGAAGAAAACAGCATAGGGGAATTTCAATAGGAAAGCCAACTTGAATATGTCATTTCATTTTAATGAAAAGAATTCTGACTTATCGAAGGCCTACTAGTGTTACTGCCAGCAATGATATAATTAAGACTTTCAATCATAAAAAGTTCTTCAAATTTAAATTTCTCAGATATATATTACCCTTCAGGCTGATGTGTAATTTCTTCAGAATATAAAAACTAGTTTTAAGATGGAATTTAGATTGTGTGAACCTAAGGGGAAAAATCTGTTTTCCATAAAACACATTTGGTAAATTATTTCAATTAATATTAGAGATTCTTTTTAATTTATGTGGAGACTCATGATTTTTATCTGAAGCATATTTACATTCATAGATTAGAGTCCCTCAAAAAATACTTTCCAATTTTTATGATACTTAAAAACCAAAGAACATGTGAAATGATGGTCAGTAGAATGTAGTATGTATATCTGGACTTTTTTTTTAAAGCTGATAAATAAATAGAAGCTTAGTAAAAAAAAAAAAAAAGGTTAAAATATCTATAATCATTTCATCACTTTCTCTTTGCATTGGATAGAACAGATATAAAATATTAACCAAAGAAAGATGCATTTTATAAGATTTGTATAATTATGATAAATAGGTTGTAAATTTAATCTATAAAATTATTTTAAATAATCTATATTTATTTAAAATTAATCTATAAAATTAACTAAACTAAGTACTAGAAGTATACTCTTTACATAAATGCTAGTTATTTCTGGAAACAGAAAAAATTAAAGGTTATAGGTATAGTGCACGGATAAACCTGAAGTTATTTTGAGGCAAATATGTTATACGTTTAATTCTATTCCTGAATAATGGAACTATTTTCTATTTACCTGATCCAATAGCCCCACATTAATTTCTTTCCATTCAGATGAAGCATGAGTGTAAGGACATACCTAAGGTTTTCCAAACAATGTGCAGTGAAATTTGTAGCCTAGAGTTTTGATTGCCCCAAACTGTCAATAACAATCCTGTTACCACCAACAAAAGGCAACGAACTCTTCACCCTATGTTAGTTTCCCATTTAAGAGGAAACCATCACTCTTGCTCAACCTAATATAATCTATTCAAAAGCATTAACAAAATATCTCTTTTTTGGAGTCACTAAGATAGCCATTGGACCAATTCCTTTAGATAATTGGTTTGATATGGGTATTTGCTTACATAAATTGGATTCAGAATTTTTTTCTTTTCAAGCTGAAGCTGTTTTCATTCACACTTGGGGTTCTCCATCTGTCGATAAAGCCTGTTAGCTCACCATCTCACTGGCTCTGAGGTGCTAGTTTTCCATCTGGTAAAACCCTAAAGAGAACCCCAGAGTCAGAGAAGCGTGAATCCTATGGGTGCTCTCAACTCTAGAGCTTATGTCCCCAAAGAGATAGAGCCGCATTGAGAGTCAGCAAATGTTTAGAACTTGCACTTGGCTTCTCCTGGACCAGAAAAGACACCTAGTGGCAGTCCAGGCAAAACAGAGTTAAGTTGTTTAAAAAAAGTGAGCCTCTGTGGCCTCCTTTCACTGTCCCCCTCTCCCTTCGTGGCTTACATTTCACTCTTCATTAATCAACAATGAAGCATTATGTAGATAATTGCACATTGCTTCACAGTGCTATGTGGTAAATTGAAGTTAATTAGGGAAATTGGGATAAAAGAAAAATAATGGCTGGGAAAAATGACTTAAGGGTATTTCTCAAAAAATACATGCCATAAGATCCTATAATTTTACTAAGTGTGAGTCATAAACTAAACATAGAGTAACTTAGTAGTTTGTTCAAAGAGAATAACTTCATGATTAATGGTGTTCATAAGATTTTTTTTAATTGCTCTATTGATTTGCATTATCAGATTATTCCTGACACAGAAATGTGAAAGAATTTTTCTCATGGATTCTCATTAAAAAGTACACTTTTCAAGTATGTAGAGAATAAATCCTTAATTATATCCTGCAACAGTAACTGCAACAAGTTCCATGGGGCTATTTTTAAATAATGACCTTCAGTAAACTAATAGCAAAGCTTTCAGTTATAGTTCAACAGAAGCAAAACAATGTGACCTAAATTCACAGCTTTCTATTGTCCGCATTAACGCAAAAATAAAAGCGTCAGTGAGTTTGAATTTATACTGCCTGGAAAGAATCTAAAATGTAGTTATTTTTCTTGGCCAATTAAATGTAGACCCATATGCTTTGATAATTGTCCATCCTGGGGGTAATTAGGGTGTAATTCATTTTAGGAATTATGATGTCTAACAGAACATATGCTTAAATGGAAAGCCACTAAATTTCTTGAGAATGGGCCATGGACTAAGAAAATGACCACTTCCACGACCAAAACTTTTCTAAAATAATTTACTATTTTGGGTCTAACTCAGGTAGACATAGGTAATCAAAACCTCAACTTTCTATAATGAAGTATAAACCCCAAATTATTTTATACTATGAATATTTTTAAAACAGCTTCACCTACCATAAATAGTAATTTATTGATTTTGTAGTCTTATTTTTTCTGGAAATGTTTTCCTGAAACAAACATCTAATTCTTGCTGACACAAAAAGTCTTAGATCTCATCTACTTTTGAGCTCTGTGCTCTTCTGTGGTGGCTTTACCCTCAGGTGTACTTCTGGTGACAACATGCCTATCAGGAATATATTCCACCAAATAAGCAAGCCCAATTAAAAGAAAGTGCATCTCCCTTAATAATAATAGCAAAAGTCCTGGGCTTAATTCTAATTGGCCCAGTTTAAACTGGAATGCCCATGATGAGCCTATCACAGGTGGCCAGATGGATAAAATATACTTATTAGCCAGTTCTAGCTCATGTGCCTATACTTACCAGTAAAATGGAAAGTGAGAGAGGGGGGAATTTCATCTGAATGTCAGACACTAGGGGTCAGAAATCTATGGCCCACAAGTCAGCTACCTGCTTTGGTGAATGAAGGTTTTTTGGAAAACAGTCATGCCTATTTGCCCATGTATTGTCTATGTCTGCTTTCATGCTACAAAGACACCACTGAGTAGTTATAAGGAACCACATAGCCTGTTAAGCCTGAACTATTTATTATCTTACCCTTTAAGAAAAAAGTTTGCTGACCCCTCACGCAGAACAAAAAATGGGAAGAAGTGGTCCTCAAAAGAAAACCAAGGGATTTTTATTTAAAGGATAAATAAATAAATAAATAAATAAATAAACAAATAAACAAACAAATAAATAAATAAATAGAAAAGGAAAAATGCTGGACAGGAAAAAAATCAATACCATTCCTCTAAGATAACCGGGTTACAAAAGATATTCCCACATATCTAATTAGTTGTATTAATAGAGTAGATTTTGGAAGGCATCTTAAAAGTAGTATTTGATTTTCAAAAATTATCTTTTAAAATCACCTTAATTAGTGATAGTGTAATCATATTCCATGTATACACAGAAGGATGCTTAATTTGCTATTTTCAAGGGATGTTGTAGAGAAAGAGAAACATTTGAATCCAGTTCATCCATACTGGTAGTAAGGTCTACATATTCCAAAAATAAGGAAAGAAGCTTCTTAGCTGATAATGGCTAAGACCAGGTGATGATGGCTTAGACCAGTGGTTCCCAAACTTATTTGGCCTACCGCCCCCTTTCCAGAAAAAATATTACTCAGCGCCCGCTGGAAATTAATTTTTTTTAAATTTTAATAGCAATTAAACAGAAAGATATATGTATTAATGTTTCTACCTTTTTCGTAAAATATATTAAAGAAAGGTGTAAATTAGAAACATTGAAGTTTGAAATTATGAAACTATTTATTGAACTCAGAATAGAAAGGTAATACAAAAAAAAGTTAAAACAAATGCACCTGTGGCCATCATCGCCCCCCTGGATCACTGCAGCGCCCACCAGGGGGCGGTAGCGCCCACTTTGGGAATCACTGGCTTAGACACATGGCAGACACTGTTCCAGGTACATCATATATTCATATCTCATGTAACCTTCATCATCAACTGTGAGGTAGGTATCATTATTACCATTTTATAGGTAAAGCTCAAAGAGAACAAGCATCTTACCTTAAGCATAAAAATTAGTGACAGAACTAGCTCCTAACTCCATGCTCCCGCTCAATGACATATGTGACTGTTTTCCCAGGGAAAAACAAAAAATAATTCATGGTGAGGTTAACAGAACATGAATCAATCCAGTGTTGATTATTCTACTGCTACGCTCAGTTATATCCCCATAGTCATGTCAAGAACCCAAACCATCTTGGGGCTGTCAGGTAGTATAGACGAGTCTCTCTAACAGACGCTATCCTCAGGAATGAATTATCATTTCATATGATATGCTGGAAGGATTTGGGTATTTATATATCATCTGGCTCATAGTTTAGTAGTTGTCTAAACCAATGTATTGAGAACTCAGGGACTGGAGAACTTGATTCTTTTCCGTACTTTTCCAGGTACATGCTGTATAAATGTGAAAGCCAACTATTATTTTTGACATGTGGATGGAACCTTATAAGCTTCTGAAGAATGTTGTAAACATAGAAAAGAGCCTGGATACTTATGAGAAGCATTATGTTTTAATGAATCTCAGCTCAATTTTAGAAATAGAAAACAAAGCTAAGAAGAATGGTGGAAAATCAAAAATTTCAAATGTATAACTACTATTTTAGTGTTTTTTTAAAAAAATTATGACAATTTTCAAACATATACAAAAGTTCAGAATCATTGTTTATGCCATACTAGAGATCCGGGGCATGACATTCATGCACTGGGCGGCAGGGGGGGGGGGGGGGGGGGAGGTCACTCAGCCTGGCCTGCACCCTCTCGCAGTCCGGAAGCCTTTGTGGGATGTCGGACTGCCAGTTTAACAGCCCACTCCCACTATCGCCTCTGCACTCGCCAGCTGTGAGCCCGGCTTCTGGCTGAGTGGCACTCCCCCTATGGAAGCACACTGACCACCAAGGGATAGCCCCTGTGTTGAGCAGGATTGGGCAGAAACCAGCTCTCTGACATCCCTAGAGGGGTCCTGGATTGCGAGAGGCCGCAAGCCAGGCTGAGGAACCCCACCAGTGCACAATCTGGGTTGGGGAGGGACACAGAGGTTGGCCAGCTGGGGTGAGACCACGGGAGGGCTCCAAGGCATGTCCAGCCCATCTCACTAAGTCCTGATAGGCCGGACCCCAGCAGCAAGCTAACCTACTGGTTGGAGTGTCTTCTCCCTGGTGGTCAGTGCACATCATAGCGACTGATCGACAGGTTGACTGTCTGCCCCCTGGCAGTCAGTGCATGTCATAGCAAGTGGTTGAGTGGCCTTAGCATATCGTTGGCATATTATGCTTTGATTGGTTGAACGGACAACTGGACTACAGAACACTTAGCATATTAGGCTTTTATTATATAGGATACCTTGTCCCAGATTAAGAAATTATCAACATATGTCCAAACTTGTTTTATTTTTAAATTGAATTTATTGGTTACATTGGTTAACAAAATTATATAGGTTTAAGGTGTACAATTCTATATAATACATTATCTGTATAACCTCAACAATACCCATCCCCTATGTTAAAACAAACTTTAAATATTATATCATTTCATCTATAAGTTCTTCAAAATATATTTCTACAAGATAATTCTACTAAACAAAAACAATCGCAAAAGCATTTCATACCTTAAAAATTAACAATAAATTATTAAAGTCACTAAATATCTATTTATTGTTCAAATATCCCTGCTTACATCATATATATGTATTTCATACACATATATATGTGATTTGTCCTAGAAAATATTCCATAATCTGGATTTTGCTGAATGCATCCCTATGGTGTTATTTAACATGTTTCTTTTTGCCTTGTACTTCCTGTATACAGTGGGGCCTTGACTTATGAGTTTAATTCGTTCTGTGACGGAGTGTACTGGTATTAAACCAAAAAGCTTGATCATATTTAGGTTTAATTATTCTTGACAATAATCATAAAAATCATGTCTTTTGTCTCTCTACTGTGCATCTCATCAGGAGACATATTATCTGATTGTCTCTCTTTACATAATATTCAAAGATTAATTGGTTCAGATGTTCTCAACCTGACTCATCCATTAGAAAATGTGGGACAACTTTTATGGATGTATGTAAACTGCCAAGAAACAAGCTCACACAGTTTCAAAAAGGCATAAAGCATTTTTAGAAAAGCCTGCCTCCATACTATATGCTATGCTGGTTTAGTCTTCTGACATTGGATTTGGTTACAACTATTCTGAGATGAGGGGTAAAATAAAGCCTGAAGTCCCCTACTATGTGTAAGGAGGGCAACTCTCAATAACACTTTTTAGAATTATAAATAAAATGAGGTTCTATGCAAGCACCTTCTCCATTAGCAACTCCCTCTATGTTTCTAATCTTCTCTCCCATTACTTCACTAAAGGGAAGTTTCTAATGTTATCCATTTATATGAATAGTACTATGCCAGACCAATAGTCTTCCTATTCTAGAATGATAGGCCATATCCAATATGTAGTCTCCCTTGTAAAAGTGTCCAAGTAGCTAGTTACACTACTGGCCCCAATTGCTCTCTACATCAGTTGGCCTATTGGAGAGCATTTCTGAAACATTTAATATGTTTAGGCATTGTGCTAGGCTCTGACTAAACAGGCTGGCAAGGGAGGGCAGTTAGAAGCGACCAGGCCTGCAGGGGAGGACAGTTACAGGCAACCAGGTCAGCAGGGGAGGGCAGTTAGGGGCAATCAGGCTGGCAGGGGAGCAGTTAGGCCTCGGTCAGGTTGGCAGGGGAGTGGTTAGGGGGTGATCAGGCTGGCAGGCAGAAGCAGTTAGGGGCAATCAGGCAGGCAAGCAGGAGAGCGGTTGGGAGCCAGCAGTCCTGGATTGTGAGGGGGATCCCAGATTGGAGAGGGTACAGGCTGGGCTGAGGGACATCCCCCCCCCCCCGCATGAATTTCGTGCGCTGGGCCTCTAGTATAAATGCAAACAAAACAAACATGACAAAATTAATATTTACAATGATTGAAGGTAAATGGGGGGTATATATGTGATTATTGTACTAGTCTTCCAACTTTTCAATATGTCTGACATTTATATATTTAAAAGATGGAAAAAATTATGTCAATACATATCTAATAGGGAAAAGAATAGGAAATAGAGCTGATGTTCTCCCAAGGCCCATTTTAGTCCTCTGATTTTAGAATAACAGAAAAAGAATTTTGGAGCAGTGGTTATAGAGTCTAAAAGAAAAAAATGGAGGGAATTAAAAAGGAGCTTCCTATAAGCCAATATCATAACAGCTTGCTCATTAGATTAGAGTGATTACTTCTTTATTAGGCCTTATTTGAGCTGTCATCTGGTATCAATTAGGTCAGTTATAGTCTGTCAGGCCTATCAGAGGGAAATAGAGCAAGGTCCATCCTGGCTTGAGGATGGAATAATTAAAGCAATGGGAATAATGGCTACTCTTCAGTTTAACCCTCATCCAATCAATCGAGCCCTTCCAATCATGTTCAATGTGAAAGATGTGAAAGGAGAGCAAAATTACTGCCAAAATTGAGTTTTAAAAAGTCTCATTTCAACCATCAAATCAAATCATTAGTGAGGTGAAGAGTTACAAATAAAATATTCTGAAATATCATTGTAGAAACTAAAAGGAGGAGGACGCAGAAACCACACCATCTTGAAGGGCAGAGCTGCTTTGACTAGGAGCCCAGCCACACCACCACCTAGACTGGCCTCCGATGAAACTGAGACCCCACAGCCAATCGGGACAAACACCAGCTACCACAGCTGAAGACGCATGGGCACTGACTCCACCAATACTGGTCTCAGGCTACTGTGGGTCCTGGAGTGTATTCCCCTTCCACCTACCCACCCGGCAATACATGTCTCATGCATCCCAAGGCAACCCCCTGACTACCAGCATGCACAGACCCTGCCTGGACCGCTGTGGCTGCATCTCCTGGGCACTTGAGCCAGCCCCCTTACTGTCAGTGTGCAGGACACTTCCGCCAAGCCCACAGCCACAGGGCAGGGCCCATGCAGCTGGGCGCCTGGACCCTACAGCAACAGCAGAAATGGGGAGACAAAAAAAGCCACCCCCAAAGGACAGAAAAAGAGAACCCCCCCCCCCAAGGAACTAAATGAAAAGGAGGCATACACTATATCAGAAAAAGAATTTAGAGTTCAGAGTAATGGTCATATAGTTCATAAACCAGATGGACGAGAAAATCAACACCTATGTAAGAACCAAGAAGAAACCAAAAGTGATATAGCTATAATAAAGAACACACAGAAAGGCTTCAACAATAGACTAAGAGAAGCAGAGGATTGGATTAGTGAGCTAGAAGATAGGGCAGAGAAACAAGCCCAATCTGAACAGCAATTGGAGAAAAAAATTAGAAAGCAGGAGGAGAGCCTAAGGGAGCTTTGGGACAACATGAAATGAAGCAACATACATATAATAGGGGTTCCAGAGAGACAAGAAGAGCAGTAAGGATTAGAGGACCTATTTGAAGAAATAATGACAGAAAACTTCCCTGATATGGGGAAGAAAAAAGTCACCCAAGCACAGAGAGTCCCAAACAAGATGAACCCAAAAAGACCCCACCCCCCCAAGACACTTCGTAATGATAATGGAAAATGTTAATGACAAAGAGAGAATCTTAAAGGCTGTGAGACAGAGAGTTACCTACAAAGGATCCCCCAATAAATTATCAAATGATTTCTCAACAGAAACACATCAGGCCAGAAGGAAATGCAATGAAGTATACAAAGTAATGTAACGCAAGGGACCGAATCCAAGAATACTCTATCCAGCAAGGCAATCATTCAAAACTGAAGGAGAAATCAGGAGCTTCACAGACATAAAAGGGCTAAGGAAGTTTATCATTACCAAGCCAGCAATGCAAGAAGTGCTAAAAAGAAGAAAAGGAAGAGAAGAAGTAACCCAGGCATAAAAAATATAAATGGCTATAAACAAGTACCTATCAATAATAACTTTAAATATAAATGGATTAAATCCTCCAATCAAAAGACATTGAGTGGCTGAATAGATAAGAAAACATGACCCATATATATGCTGTCTACAAGAGACACATCTCAGAACAAGAGACTCACCCAGACTGAAA